TTTATCAAATATTTCAAATATTGATAGAATGTATTCATTTCTTAAAAATAATTCATTTTAGAAAATTTCAATTAATAGAAAATTTTTTTCAATTACTGCTAAGTCGTAAAAATCAAATCAAATCATATTCAGCGATCATCAGATCAAATCAAATCATATTCAGTGATCGTCAAATCAAATCATAATTAGTGATCATCAAATCGAATCGAATCATATTTAGTGATCATCAGATCAAATCAAATCAGATTATATTTAGTGAACGTTTTTCCAAAATTTTGGAAGTAATAGCAAAAATTTTTTATTAATTATGCGAGAAATTTAAAATCATCCACAAAATAATTGTACCTGAAAGTAAAAAATGGTGCAAAAAACTTAATACTTTAAACATTTATGCATAAATAATATATTTAATATATTCTATCATTATAAATATTCATCTTACTACATATTATTGATTAAAAAATTTTAGAGATATTTTGACCAACTGATTTTATTTTAGTTGCATTTTTGACCAATTTGATTTACTGTTTATGATCACGTTTCACTTTTTACGTGATATAAAAACTTTGATGAAACCGAAAATTTTAAATTGAAGATATGTTTGTTTAGCGTTTTACTATTCATTTTAGTAAGAAGTAAACTTACGAAGTAAATTACTTGAGGTAGTAAGAAACTTATAGTCAGGCATTTTTCAAGACTAAATGTTCCTTTAATATTTAATTGAAAACATGAACTTTGCGATAATTTGCTATTATTAAAGTAACGAAAGTAATTATCAGCTTAAAAAAGCAATAATTTTTAAAGAAAAAATTTTGAAAAGAACTTTTTAAATACAAATAATAGCAAGTAATCATTTTTAAAAAGTTAAAGCACCTACCTTTAGATGATATTAAAAAAGCTTTCATTTCAAGTTAATGTCATCACTTTTCATTTTTATTACTGCTATTAAAATTTGAACTTGTAAGGTCAGACTTACAATAGCACAGTTACTAATTTAGCTATGCTTAACTTTTTTTCTCACGTTTAAAAATATTTTAACGTTTTCAAAACAATTAACCATAATTTTTCCGTTTTTACAAAATTTATGAATATTATTACGCTTAAAAAATATTTGTAAATGTATTTGTAATTTTTAATTCATACGTAATAAATTCAATTCATACTTTTTATTTTGTAAACAAAACTTTGATTGAAAAAACTAGAGATAAACGTTAACAGCCGAAAATACTTGCAATAATTGATCAAAATTTGAAAATATAATTGTTTCTAAAAACTAAAATTTTGCAACAGAACGTTTAAAAACGTGTTATAGAACGTTAAAACGTTAAAAAAATGCGCAAAAAAAAGAATAAAAAGCGTGAAATTTATAAAAAAAGTGCAGAGTATAGATTTAATCAATTTGAATGCATTTTTTATTTCTTAAAACATTTTTTATTTTTTATAAGACTTAACAAAAAGTTTGCTTTCTTTACAGTATTATATAATTTCCTTCAATTTTTTTTATCACACCAAAGTATTCCCAAAGGATATCTTTGATATGTATTTTAGTCAGCTCAAAAATGCATGCATATTTTATTATTATTATTTTTATTTTTGCGTTTTTGAACAGCACTCTTTTTTTGTCTTTTTTTTCATTAATTATTTCTTTTTTTAAATTTTTTGATAAATTAATTTTTTTTTTCTAAATATTTGCTTGCTTTTGTTAGCGTACTGTAATAGTAAATAATTTTTCGATTGTAATTTAAGCATTTAACAAAATATTTATGTATTAATATGGATATTAATTGACTTTTTTTTATTATTTGAAAAAATATTCCTCAAAAATTCAAATTTATTATTTAGCTAAGCAAATAGCAAAAGAAAAAACTTGAAAAATATCAAAATTGATCTCTTGAGATTTCAGTTTTCTATAATTTTTTTTCCTTCAATTTCGATATTTTTTAAGCATCAGTTGATTTTGTTGAGTTGATGAATGCTTACAGTAAAGTTTCAGTTTATTTTACTCTAAACAAACTTGACAGTTTTTAGTTAATATAATTAGACAAACTCTTACTCTTACTTTATAAGACAAAATTTTTGATTGTTACTGTTCAGATTTATCAAGTAAAATGAATTAACTAATCAGTAAGATAAGTAAGTCAATTTATTAGTGAAAAAATACAATCATAACTTCACTTTTACTAAAATTTAGCAAAGAAATCAAAAGTGCTAAATGCAAAAAATCAACGAATTATATAAAAAATAGTGACATATTTTATTAATTTAAATAA